GCAGCTGAAAGGGGGAGGGGAGTTGGGCTGACTTCCTCTATACTACTTCACTTGGTCACCTCACAGCTACTTTAGACTTTAATTATCATCTCCAAACTGATGATTCTTAAATTTACTTATCCAGCCTTAGCCTCTCTAATGACCTCCAGACTTGCATCTCAAACTAGGTGTTCATCAGACATCTTAAATTCAGCATGTATAAAATGGATTATCATCTTTTCCCCAAACCCTCTCCCCTTCCAAGCTTTCCCCACACCATCCTTTCAGTTCTCTAGGCTCTCAACATAGGTATCACCATCTGCAAACCCTCTCTCACCACCCCCAACCCCACCCCATATATTCAATCTGTTGCCGAAGCTTTGTAGATCTCACCTTTGCAACATCTCTCCAATATACTCCTTTCTCTCCTTTGCATCTGGGTGGCACAAGTGGATAAAGTGCCAGGCCTAGAGTCATGAAGACTCATCTTACTGCATTCAAATCTGTCCTCAGACACTTACTAGCTGTGTGATCCTGGATAAGTCACTTAACCCTGTTTGTCTCAGTTTCCTCATCTGTAATATGATTTGGAGAAGAAAATGGCAAAGCACTCCAGTATTTCTGCCAAGAAAACCCCCAAATGGGGTCACAGAGGGTTGAATGTGACTGAACAACTTCTCTTAATATTGTCACCACCATAGTGCAAGTACTCTTTACCTTACACCTGAACTACTGTAGTAGCTTATTGATACTGCCTGGTACAAACTTCTCTCCACTACAATTGGTCCTCTATGCAGCTACCAGGTGATTTTCCTAATGCTCAGGTCTAATCATGTCAACCCCTACATACACACACACAAACACTCTCTGTCTGTCTGTCTGTCTGTCTGTCTCTCTCTCTCTCTCTCTCTCTCTCTCTCTCTTTCTCCCCCCCCCCCCAGTGGCTCCCTAGTATCTCCAGGATCAAAAACAAAATCCTCTGTTTCAAGTCCAAAGCTCTTCTTCATCACCTAACCCCCTTCCCCCTTCCCAGTCTTCTTACACCATACACCCTTACCCCACTCTTTGATGAGTGACACCAGCCTCTTTGCTCTTCTCCAAGAAGATACTCCCATCCTTCAGCTCTGAGCATTTTCTCTGGCTGTCTCTTATGCACAGAATGCTCTCCCTCATGTCTACCCTCTGACATTCCTGACTTCTTTCAAAGCCCAACTGAAATCCCACCTTCTAAAGGAAGCCTTTCTCAATCCTTCTTAATTCTAGCACCTTCCCTTGCATTATTTCCAATTTACCCTGTATATATTGTTTTTGTATTCCATGTTGTCTTTCCCCATTAGCTCCTGGAGAACAAGCACTATCTCTTGCTTTTTTGTATCCTCAGTGCTTAGCACACACAGAACCTGGCACATAGTAGGTCATTAATAAATGTTTATTGACTAACTGAATGACCTTGGCAAGGAAAAAGACCACCTACCTCTTTCTCAAAGACCAGAACAAAAGTACAGAGAATAAGAATATTGAAGTGTGGAACAGAGAGAAGTGTGGAGTAGAGAAGGTGAGATCTACAAAGCTTCGGCAACAGATTGGATATAGGGAGTGGGGTTGGGGGTGGTGAGAGAAAGTTTGTAGATGATGATACCTAAGTTGAGAGCCTGGAGAACTGAAAGGATGGTGGTGTCCTAGACCGTAATAGGGAAGCTTGGAAGACGAGAGGATTTGGGGAAAAGATGATGAGTTCCATTTTATACATGCTATACTAGATAGTTGTGATTTTTCTTAGTAAAGTAAAAGATGAGGTCTTCTGCCAAGAAGGGGGCAAAGGTTGGCATAAATGTCTTGAGAAAGGAGGGGAAAGGTTTGGAACTCTCACTGTAAGTGGTAAGACAGAGTCAGTTGGGGAAGAATACAAGGATTTTTGAGTAGCAACGAGGACTCATCAGGGGTGTTCAAAAGGGCTTTTAATCAATACTGTAGACTTATTTGAGTTTAGATAATATAAATATGTAACAGACCCAGTTTGCATGGTTTCATTACTTCTTTCAATTGTATTCACTAACACCTGAGTAGGAGCAGAGGGAGGATGGCAGAGGTTGGAGTTTGTCAAGAAATGAGTGGTAGTAGGACAAAGGAGCAAGAGAATCGACAGAAGAGTATAGCTTTTAGTTGAACTGGTTAACCATGTGGTCCAGATTATGATGGGAAGAAGTGAGGTGAGAGTAGGAGTGATGTACTAGGTGTTACAAGAAGAGTAGGCTTAGGAAGTATGAAGCAAAGGGAGAAATGGAAGGGTGGGAGGATGAGGTCAGTTGGGAATTTCATAATTCAGGATCAGATGAGATAATGTGAAGCACCTTGTAAATATTAAATCATAATATAATTGCAAGCTGCTATTATTATCATTATATTGGCAGTGTGCTATAATGAATAAGAGACCTAGCCTCAGAGTCATTCAGGAAAACCTGGGTTTAAGCCTTTTACCTCTGACACATACTGGGTGTGTGACCCTGTGCAGAATAGTTCCTGATTAACATTGGTAGAGGGAGTTTCCTATAACAAGGAAATCACAAAGCTAGTCTATATTCCTTAATATTATTATTATAATCTTTGAGGAAGCAGTTATTGGTGATGGTGAGATCTAAGATATGATCTTCCCTGTATGTGGCTGAGATGGAATGAAGATTTAGGTCATGGGAGTTTAGGAGGGTGGTGAACTAGGAGATTAGAGTGTTTGATGATGTCCCTAAATATAAGGGCATGGGTTGGGATTGAGAGGAAGACTGTGAAAGAATTATAGATAATAATAATAATAGTGTATATGCATATAGTATGCATGTTATATATGCTACATGTAGTATACGTAGCTTAAAGGTTTTCAAAGCACTTTATAAATATTATCTCATTTTATCCCTAGAGAGGTAGGTATTTATTACTTTTATTTTACAGATGAGGAAACTGAGGTTAGGAGATGTTAAGTGATTTGCCCAGAGTCACACAGCTAGTGTTTGAGTTCAAATTTAAATTCCTCTTCCTGACTCTAGGCCTAACTCTCTATCCATTGTGCCAATTTGAAAAAATAGAAAGATTTGGATGTCAGTAATGACAACAATGAGGGTTGGAATTGGGTGACAGAAACCAGTGGGGTGAACCTCAAAGAAGGAGAGGTTGCTAAGTGATGGTGGCAAAGAAAGGGCCTAAAGAAGTGGCAGTGATAAGCAAGAAATGCCTATTTTTCCTCCCATATTATTATGTTGAAACCATGAGGGAACGAGCAACTAGTTACTGGAGAGAGTGGCAATGTACTCAAAAGGGAGCTTGAGCCAGATTTCTTTGAGTGAAAGAAGATGAAAAGAATGTGAGATGTGAGATCTGAGTAAATGAAAGTGTCTAGGATGAGAGGGAACTTGTTAAGAGGTGTGGTTTCCAGGGGGCAAGGAAGATAGAGACTGTGGAAGAGTAGGATTTAGGTGGGTGAGGATGAGGTGAGGAGTGGTAACTGGGAGAAAGGAATTTTCACCAACTCAGTCTCAGAGATAAGGTATGATAGAGGTGGAAATTTGTTAGCCATCTGAAGCTGTGTGTTGAAGTGACTGGGTCTAGAGTTAGGAACACCTGAGTTCAAATCTGGTCTCTAATACTTATTAGCTATGCCACCCTCAGCAAGTCACTTAACCTCTGTGTGCCTCAGTTTCCTCAACTGTAAAATGGGATAATAGTAGCAACTACCTTACAGGGTTATTGTGAGAATTCTCTCTCTCTCTGCATATATATTCATATACATATATGCACATATATGTGTTTATATATACATATATCACATGAGCATGCACACACATATACATACATATACAATCTCAAATGAGATAATGTTTGTAAAGAGCTTAGCACAATGCCTGTCACATAGTGGGTACCTAATACATTTTTCCTTCTATCCATATGACAACTACCTGTTGTCCTATGGCTCCAGTATCCTATGATAGATTGTGATAAATTGGATCTCCCCCCCTAAATACCACCAGGTAAAGCCCACGGAGAGACTGGGTTAGATCTCTCTGGGTCAGTAACTACTTGGTCCCTAGGGACAACACTGAGCTCACATTTAGTGGCAGTTCCTTGGCTTTATTTCAAGATAATAGGGGATAATGAACAGCTATAAGAAACTACACATAGAATATGTACTAGGGTCTCTTTTTGGTCTTGTGTTTGAGGCCCTAGTCCTTGGTGCTTTCCTAGCAGTGAAAGGCATGGTATCTAAATAACCATGGCTTGGTCAAATGGTTTAATGGCCCAGGGCAGAGTAGTCACAACTTGTTGTAAGGCAAAGGGTTCTGGCAGGGACTTCTGAGACAAGGTGGCTTGCAAACATAGTCCTTGAAAGGGGCTGAGGCTTGGGAAAGCACTAGCTGTATGGCTGCAGATCTATTTGCTTCTGGGTCTGGGAGCTTACTTTGTTCACTGGTATTCTCCATAGTCGATGGCCTTTTTCTGCACAAGGTTGGTGCTTAATGTATTTTTAAAATGTTGTACTGTAGTTTGAGGAAAGCCTTATGTAAGCCTCAATAAAAGGAAGTTATCATTACCACTCTACTGTGAACTCCCTGAGGACATGGTCTGGGATGTTGCTCTCTGATACACAGAAACCATTACGGCCCCTTGTATACAGTAGGCACTTAACGCTTTAAAATTCGAATTGTACTAGGTACACAAGCAATGTTGTGAGCTCAGTGACCACAGACGGGCTGAAAAGAAAGGCAGATCCCAGGTCGCATCACCCCATCAGATCCAAGCCAAGGCCATTCTGGCTGGGGAATTTCCCAGTTTGGCTCCTACATTTACTCAGGACTCCTCCCTCCTTCCTTCCAACAGCGTCTCTTCGGTTCCCAAGCCATTCAACTACTGGCTCCCGCCAGAGGGCACGCGCGTTCCACTGAGCTAATGCCCCACTTCCGTTTCTCTTCGATTTCCTTAATGCGCATGTGCGCCTTCTTCTTCCTCAGCAGCTCTCCCTCTCCTCCGCCCCGCTTCTTTCGCGGGTCATTCCTAGTGCGCCTGTGCAAATCCGGATTTCTCTCCAGTCTTCCTCCCCGCCCCCTACCGTGTCCCCGGAAGCGTTAGCTCCCTTCCCCTACTGGGGCTGTGACACGGCGGAGTAGCGGCGCTCTAGGTGCCACCACCACCATGGTTCCAGCTGTCTGCGCCGCTCGAAAGGCTACGTGGTGAGACTGGGCCGAGCTACTGGCCCCACAGTCCGTAGCTGGGTGAGTGAACCTCAGACTCTTGCGGAGGTTCGAGAGCCTGCCTTACCTTCCGGAGTGGGGCAGCCTGATCTCTCAGGGTCCTCTTCCCCCCCACCCTCTGTCAGAAATGGGCTCGTCCGTTCCTCTCCTTTTCCCGCCCCCCCCCCGCCCCTGTGGAGGGAGGGTCTGGTTACCATGGAAACAGGCCGATCCTCACCCTGCGCTTCTCCCCAGTATTCAAGCTATCGGAAGGTGGAACATGGCGGGGTGGGAGGAAGAGCGGCTTGGTATAAATGCTGCTGAGTGCTCTGGCCCTGAAGACTGCTTGTTTGCGGCCTCAATTGCCTCAGCTCCCCTCTCCTAGGGGTTGCCAAGTGTCGGGAGGAGGGAGGAGGATGGCTCAAGGATGTGGGTTGTCATGGTTATCGAAGTTCTCCCTGCCAGCTGACTGCACGTTGGACCCCGACCCCGAAGGCTCCGCCCTCGACCTCCACACTTCCCCTTCCCATGGCTTGGATACACGTGGAGACCACTGGGCGAAGCAGGCAGCAGGGGTGCTGAAACTGGAGGCTGGAGCCCTGGAGCCCTGGCCATGGCCGGCCAGTTCCGCAGCTACGTGTGGGACCCCATCCTGATCGTCTCCCAGATCGTCCTCATGCAGAACGTGTACTATGGCTCCCTGGGTCTGTGGTTGGCGCTGGTGGACAGCCTGGTGCAGAGCAGCCCCACTCTGGACCAGATGTTCAGCCCGGAGGTAAGGGTCCTCGGAAACCAGATGTTCAGCCCAGAGGTTGTGGAAGGTCCACATTCAGTGTCTCTGGAACGTGCTCGTTCAGTCAGTCACGCCTTCACTAACAATCACTTTCATTCATTCAGCTACTCAGTGGCTCATACTTTCAGCCAGTTATTCAGTCACCCACTCACCCAGCCAGTCATCAGTCAGACTAGCCACCTGGTCAGCCAGCCAGTCACACTCAAGTCACCCACTCAGTCACCCTGGTGGGCAGGAAGTCCCTCATTCAGTCCTCTCATTCACGCAGCTCCTCAGTGTGTCACTTGGTCCCTGTTTAACTTGGGCACCCAGCCAGCACAAATTTGTTAATCATTAAGTACTTACTGTGCACAGAGATTTGTGCTTATACAAAGCTGCAAAGGTGAGCTAAGACAAGTTACCTGTTGTCATGGAATTTATAATATAGTAGATCGAATTGAAACACAGATGCAAATCATTATGTAATGTGTTACATGATAAATAAAGAGGGTGAAACGAAATAGTATTTGAGGTCTAAAGAGGAACGGTGTTACTTAATGGGGGGAGTAGACATCCTAGAAATGGTATTTGACTTGGGCTTTTTAGGATGGGTAGAAATTGGACAGGTGGAGTGGGATGGGGGAATGGGAGGAGTGGAGGGTGGGAAACCATTCTAGGCATTGTGGCAAAGATTGAGACAGGGGAATTCAGGGCTCAGTCAGAGACAGTGTGGTAGTAATGGAAAGAGTACTGGACTCAGAGTCAGGACACCTAAGTTGAAGTCTTAGCTCTCTTTACCACTTACTAGATGTATAATTTTGAAAAAAAAGTACTTTTCCCCTTTCAGAGCTTTGGTTCCTTCATCTATAAAAGGGAGACAATTGTACTTAACATTATTATCTAGCTCACTGGAAGAGTGGTGAATGGAAAGCACTTTGTAAACTATTAGTCACTATAGAACCAGGAATTGTGATTATCATTCACTCAAAAAAGTTTTGGGTTGTCTGTTGGAGGTGGACTGGGTGTAAATAAAGATCAATGAGACCCAATCTCTTTGCCTTAACAGAGCTTCCCATCAGGAGTCTAGGGCTGGGATAAGCTAAGACCCACTGATAAGTACAATATATACAAAGGACAGAGTATGATAAACATAAGAAAAGTACAGAGTCTACCATGTTCAAAGAAGGTAAAGATCAGGAAAGGTGGCGTTTAATCTGAGCTGGAAAAGATTCAGGTAGAGTTGAAGGGCACATTGTCAGAGACAGGAAGATGTAGAATATGTAGGGAGATAGTGAGCAGTTCATTGGGTTGGAGAGCAGAGTGCCTGAGGAGGTAGTATAGGGAGATGAGGCTGGAGGAATAGTCAGAATCCACTACCACCTTTCTCCTCTAGACCTTGCTGAGACTCCAGGGACATAGTCAAAGCTACCCAGTAGGTACTTTTCCTGGAGGCATAGCCTGGGCCAGGATCTATCATCAGGTTATTGGGTACTTATGTACCCAACTGGGCCTCAGTAGCCTCAGGATTTAATTTCTCACCCACATCTGAATAAAAATGTGCATAGATCTAGGCAACACCTACCTAGCCCTTATTTGGTAATAGGTTCTGATCTTTTTCCTCTTTATTCTCTTTGAGCCTCAGTATCTTTACTTGAGAAAAACGGGAATATTTGATTCTCAAATAGAAGTTTTTTGTTTATGTGTATATAAATAATTTTAAAATACTATGTAAATCTGAGCTGTTATTAGCATGTCATTTCATTATCATTATCCTGCTGGGGTTCTTGATCCAGGCTCTTGCCGAAAAATCATCTTCGTATCCAGTGTCACTCCATTCATTTGTGATTTCTTCCTTCTCTGTTCTTCCTCAGATCCTGGGCTTCTCTACTGCCCCTGGCCGTCTATCTATGATGGCCTTCATTCTCAATGCTCTTACCTGGTGAGTATCCCCAGCCTCACAAGGCCACATGGAATTCCGAAGACAAAGCTTCTTTTGGCCAAGTATTAGGGCTATCCTCTCAGATTCTCACTTGATATGAGTGCCCCTTTCAGGGGCAGGTAGGTGGCTCAGTGGATAGAGTGCTGGCCCTGGATTCAGGAAGACCTGAGTTCAAATCTGGCCTCAGACACCTACTAGCTATTTGAACGTGGGCAAGTCACTTAACCTTGTTTGCCACAGTTTCCTCATCTGTAAAGTGAGCTGAAGAAGGAAATGACAAACTATTCGGGTGTCTTTCCCAAGACAGCCCCAAATGAGGTCACAAAGAGTTGGACATAACCACGTGGAATTCCTAAGACAAAGCTTCTTTTGGCCAAGTATTAGGGCTATCCTCTCAGATTCTCACTTGATATGAGTGCCCCTTTCAGGGGCAGGTAGGTGGCTCAGTGGATAGAGTGCTGGCCCTGGATTCAGGAAGACCTGAGTTCAAATCTGGCCTCAGACACCTACTAGCTATTTGAACGTGGGCAAGTCACTTAACCTTGTTTGCCACAGTTTCCTCATCTGTAAAGTGAGCTGAAGAAGGAAATGACAAACTATTCGGGTGTCTTTCCCAAGACAGCCCCAAATGAGGTCACAAAGAGTTGGACATAACCGAACAACTACAACCCCTTTTTAGGGAGGAGAGAAAAAATGTGAGCTTATTCAGGCATCTACCCTATTTCTAGTTTCCATAGAAAAGTAATTCTGACAGGTTTATATCTGTATCTTTCTGCCATATGTAATGTGGTCTTGAGATAAGACCATTGAGCTGAGACCCAAGAGACAAAGATTCTGGGTCTCCATTCTGTTGTGACCACCCTGGGCAAGTCACTTCTCTCTGGTCCTCAGGAACTTCATACATAAAATGATGAAGTTAGACTATGTAGTGTCTAAAGTTACTTCATGCTGTGATATTCTGTGTATGTTGTTTGCCCATTTCCTATCCTTACAACTGTTGTGCTTCATTCCGTCTAATCAGTGACCTGTCAGATGAGTTCCCTTCAAACTGCTAGATGCTTCTCTCAAAGGAAGGCCAACCCAGCCAGTGATCTCTCTCCATTTTGTCCCCCATGACAGTGCTCTTGGTTTGTTATACTTCATCCGTCGAGGGAAACAGTGTTTGGACTTCACTGTCACAGTCCACTTCTTCCACCTCCTGGGATGTTGGATCTACAGTTCCCATTTCCCTTCATCGCTGACTTGGTGGCTGGTACATGCTGTTTGTATTGCCCTGATGGCTGTGATTGGGGAGTACCTCTGTATGAGGACGGAGCTCAAGGAGATCCCTCTTAACTCTACTCCCAAATCCAATGTCTAGGAGATTGGTTTCTGGGGCCATGTATGCCCTCCAGGTCTTTTTGCTGGCATTGAGAGGATCTTGGGCACTGTGAAGTTGACATTGGTGTGGGAGAAGCAGGCTCCACCAGTCAGCCACAGGGCATAAGCTGAGGCAGTGGTATCTGCAGGGAAGAAATGCATCAGGAAGAGAACCTTTCCTATGGGCCAAGGCAGATTAAAAGGAGCAAGCAAAAATCGGAGACATCTCACTCCACTATTTTTCTCATCATCCTTTTTTTTTTTTAAAGAAAAAGATCAAGAAACTCATGATAGGAGTAAATCACTTGCCTGTCTAGTCACCCTGCCTACTTGGGATAAATATAACTTCTCCAATTTTACTGGACCAAAGAAGTTCAGTTTGGGATAATAATGTGTTTCTGTGGATGGGGAGGTCATAAATGGTATGGTCATCAAGGCTGATGGAGGCACAGAATGCCAGTGAAATCCAAAGCCTTCTACCCTGAAACACACATACTGGCCAGTGACCTTCCTTTGGCTCCACCTTGTCTGTCCTGTCCCTTGCCCCTGCTTCCTACGCGAGGTAGCTCCTAGGACCCTCGGCAATTACTCCCTCTTCCCTTGGAACTATAGTACAGATGGGAATACAAGGTTACTCAGTGATGGGACAAGCACAGTGTTCCCATCCAGGGTTTTTCTCTTTCCCGTTGGGGATGATGTGGCTAGGAGGAGGAGGGAGTGCTTCGCTGTCGAGATGCTCCTTCGGGGAAGGATTTCCTGTTGGAGTGGCTGACAGCTCCTTGACTTCCTTTGTACAGAAATACAGTATTTTCCAGTTCTGCCTGTGCTGACTTTGTGTTACTGTGATAAGCTATTGGGAAGAATGTCTCACAAAGGTGCAGGCCTCTTGTTTCCCCTCCTGGGTTGTAGGGGCAACATTTCCATTGTACAAGCAGAGCAGGATGGTAGAGTGGAAAAAACACAAGAACTGGAATGAGGAGAAGGGTTCCAGTCCTGGTTTGGATACTCACTAGTGATGTGACCAATGGCCATTCTCTTAAGCCTCAGTTTCCTTACTTGTAAAAGAGGGATAATACTGATCCAACCTGACTCACTGAGCTGTTGCACTGACTGCATTTTGCAAAGCCTTAAAGTGCTACCGAAATAAGAGTTATTAATAAATTTGTAAAGAACCAGTGTGCTTTGATGAAGAGAATGCTAAACCAGGAAACTGCTTTCAGTCCTGTCTCAGTCAGCAACTAACTGTGATCTTGAGCCACTAACTTCCCCTTTTGGAGCTTCAGTTTCTTCATCTGTCAAATGAGAAGGTCAGACTAGATGACTGAAGTTCCTGTCCTGCTCTACCATTTCAGGATTTAGATAGCCCTCTGTCCTGCTCTTACCATTACAAGTCCAGTCTACTCCCCCTCCCAGGCTCTAAGGAAATTGCTTTCGAAACCAAGTGGAGAGAAACCACCACCATCTCCTGATCATTTCTTAGCCCAGCTGACAGTGATGGTAAAGTCTCTGTTCTGTTCCACATTTGCCTGGCACCTACTTTTGGTGCTAATGAGTCATAGTAATTTTTGCTTCTTTATGGAGAAGAGGTGTGAGCCAGAAACCTGTCCCAAAGACCTGTAAAATGCCAAGATTTTTCCACTTTACTAATTCCAGAGCTGGGAAGGGAATGTAGATTTTACTTTAAGAAGTCACTGAATTTCCCATGCTGCTCTGGATTTTAATGTTGTAGAGGGAGGGTTAAAGGCTAACTAGGTTCAAATTTAAGAAGGCAAATGCTTGGGTGGAGAAACACTGGGAAAGGGTAAAGCTTGGACTATGAGGGAAGTCCAAAAGGTGGTATTTTGCCATACAAGGAGATGGAAGAGAGTGACTTTATTAAAGTTTAATTCTTTAAAAGTGGGGAAAGGCATAGAAACTGACATAGGTTTTCTGTTTTGGAAGGGGTCCAGCTTCATACCCAGTGCATGAATTCTCTCCACAATGGTCCCAGCAGACAAAACCCCAAGTTTTCTTATCCTGGTTAAATCCCTGCATCTTATAAGGGAATGGTGACTCCATAGGATATTATGAGAAGGGAGAGCTGTAGAAGGGCATCCTCTTTTCCTTTTGCTTCAGTTGATTTGAAATTTGATTTCTGGTATAGTGGAATAATAAGTAATGAACTTAAAGAAGGTACTTCTAATTCCTTCCTCACAGGCCTGTTAGGAAGCTTAGACTCAATAACATCCTTAGAGGCTTGCAAAGCAAGCCTTAACGCCCTATTTACATGACAGTCATATGGCCTGGCAATGCCGTCTCTTAATAGTTATTGTAGATTTGAAAAGAAGTAGTATGGTGGAAATAGCACTAGTTAGAGGTCCTGGGTTCTGCTGTTTACTATACTGTGACCTGGGCCAATCAACTGCCCTCTTTGGGCCTGTTTCCTCATCTGTAAAGTGAGGATAATGCTTTCTACACTAACTTAGCTCAAAGGACTGCTGTAAGGCAAGTGCTGTTTCAAAGTGAGCTATTATTATTTGGACCTCACATAGTAGGAAAATCTCATTAATACTGGGAATGCAGAGTTTCTAATACGTCAACTCTGACAGGTCTGCTTCCCTTCTTTCCAAGTTGACTTTCTAAGGAAGGTTTGCTGATACATGGCAAAATCCATAAAATGCAAGACTCCTGCTTCACAGGAAGGTTTTTAATTGCAAAGGATACATTGAGCTTCTTTTCTCAGCATGGGACACTGGGGTGGTGCTACCTAGGCAGGAAACCAGTGGGTGTTAGTCATTGGCTCATGTGGCTTAGCACATGGCAGTAAAGGATCTTCTTTCCTTTGGACCAGGAGAGGGTTTGGCTCAGGGAGGCAGGTTCCATGCACTGTCCCAAGCTTGCTTAGAACCAAACAAGAAGCAGAGCAGTGCCCAGCAGGTGCCAGGGTAGGAGGAGTAAAGGGCCTGGCCCACCAGAACCCTTAGGGCTGCATAGCTCAAACAAGTTCCCAGGAAAGTGAAGATTCCTAGATTCCTTTTTTAATGTCTCCCAGATCAGGGTAGCTTCTTCTTCACAGTCCTGGAGGGTAGTCAGGGCACAGGCGTGAAACTCTTCCCAGTACCTGCAGCCAAAAGGACCAGAGAAGTAGCCTCTCAGGGCTTTGTATACTTTAGTCAACAAAAGCCTTATGATAAGCCTCTTCTATGTATAAATGTGTTAGGTGCTAAACACAAAGACAAAAACAAAATCCCTGTCCTCAGTGAGCCTGCGTTCTACCAGGGATTGTGCTGGTAGTGGGATCTAACATGTACACAAATGTGATACAAGGAAAACTGAGGAGCGAGACAACAATTACAGAACAGGGAATCACTCTGGAATTTCAGATTTGGAAGGGAGCTCAAGACTGATTTATTTATTTATTTATCCATCCATTTATTTATTTAGTTTATTTTTTTGGCTAGGCAATGGGATTAAGTGACTTGCCCAGGGTCACACAGCTAGTAAGTGTTATGTGTCTGAGGCCGGATTCGAACTCAGGTCCTCCTGAATCCAGGGCCAGTGTTCTATTCACTGTACCACCTCGCTGCCCCAGAAGCTGACTGATTTAACTCTTACCCTAAAAAGAATCTCTTTGACAGCAGATTTGCCAGCAAGTCTTTGATTAAAGGCTCCCCAAAAGGGGATCTGCCCCCCATCTCCTGAGGCAGCCCATTCCACTTTTGGAGAGGTCTAACTGTTCAGCTTTCTCTTACATTAAGCCCTAAATTTGCCTCTTGCACCCTTTTCAGTTTAGTTCTGCCCTTGGGCCAAAAAGAGCAAGTCTAATCTCTCTTCAACTTGACAGCCTTTCAAATACTTAAAATCATGTTCTGACTGAGTTTCTTTCCCAGGCTAAACATGCCTAGTTCCTTCCAACAGATCTTCACATGGCATCTACTTGAGGCCCTCCATTATCATGGTGCTCACTGGTCAAGTTCCAATTTATCAGTGAGGGAAGGCTTCTCTTAGGAGATGGTACCTGAGCTTAGTCTTATTGGGAGAGGTTTCTGGGTGGCAGAGATGATGGAAAAGTGGATGCCTAGCACGGGACATGTGCCAGTTTGAGCCTGTAGCATAGGAGATACAATGTTGAGTGCAGGGAAGAGACAAAAGTCCAGTTTGGCCAGAACATGGAGTGTAGAAAGCAGAGAAGCAAGAAAAACAATTTGGAAACCTGGGTGGGAGCCAAATTTAGAAGGGCTTTAAATACCAGGTTAGAACAAATGTGAAACCATTCGAGATTCTTTGAGCAGGGGAGTGGAGTGATATGGTTAGACCTGTGTTTTAGGAAAATTATTTTAGTAGTTCAGGAAAGACTAGAAAGAGGGAAAAACTAAAAACAGAAACCAACTAGAGCCTATTAAAAAGCCTAGGAAAGATGTGAAAAAAGATCTTAACTATGGTATTACTCCATGAGTGGACAGAAGAGGCTAGGTGGGTAGTGGATAGATTGCTAGGCTAGGCATCAGGAAGATGTAAATTCAAATTCAGCATCAGACGCTAGCTGTGTGACCTCGAGCAAGTCATTTAACCTGTTTGCCTCAGTTTCTTCAACTGTAAAGTGAGGATAATAGCATGATGATCAAATGAGATAATATTTGTAAAGTTCCTGGCATGTAGTGAGTGCTATATAAATGCTAGCTATTATTATTTTTATTTTAAGAGATGTGAAAGTAGAATCTAACAGACTTGGTAATTCATTGGCTTTGGGGGATGGTGAAGGTAGATGAATATTCAAAGATGATTCTTAGGTTACAAATCTAGTTGATTAGGAAGATAGTATTCTCAAGAGAAATAAGGAAGTTTGAAGGAGGGGTAAATTAATTGGTGAAGAGAATTAGTTCTGTTTTTGGATATGTTGAGCTTGAGTTGCTGACAGCACATCTAGGAAGAAGAGGACTACAGCTGAATATTTAGATTTGGAAGTAGAGATGGGTAGAGATGGTAACTAAACCAATGGAAGCAGATGTCATCGCCAAGAAAAAGAGCATAAAGGGAAGACAAAGGCACGGGACAGAGCCTTGGGGACCCGCTGCTAGAGGGGTAGGAGATGGATGGTCTGACAAAGGAGACTGAGGAACAACTTGGGCAGACAGATAGAAGAACTAAGTGAGAGCAGTGTGATGGAAGTTTGTCAGTTAGGAGGAGGTGATTTAACATTGGCAATATCTGCAGAAAGGTCAAGAAAAGTGCTGACTGGGAAGCTGTCCAATTTAGTGGTTAAGAAAGCACTAGTAATCTTGGAGAAAGCAGTTTCATTCCAGTGGTGGGATTGGAAGCTAGATTGCAAATGGTTAAGAAATGAATAGGTGGTGTGGAAATGGAAGAAGCAAATGTAAATTATTCTTTTGAGGAAATGAACAGTGAAAGAGAGAAGAGATGAAACTTGAGAGGATAGCAGATAAGGTAGATGAAAACCTGTTTGTACTGGGGAGGGAGCCAGTTTAGAGAGACCTTGTTCATTCTCTTTTTTTTTTTTAAAGGCAATTGGGGCTAAATGACTTGCCCAGGGTCACACAGCTAGTAAGTGTCAAGTGTTTGGTCTGAGGCCGGATTTGAACTCAGGTCCTCCTGACTTCAGGGCCAGTGCTCTATCCACTGTGCCACCTAGCTGCCCCTAGAGAGACCTTGTTGATGAGAGCAAGAGAAGACATGGTAGAAGAATGTGAAAGCCAGGACACAAGTAGAGAGGTTTTTCTTGGCAAGGAGAAAGGTCACTTCTCTAAGAAGCTAGAGTAAAGGAGAGACAGCAGGAAATAATTTAGAGAGGTTCTGAGGTATGTATGAAGTAAGTCCATGAAGGGAGTTCACAAGCGGTAAAACAGGAGATGAGAATGACTGTTAAAAGGGAAGAGGTCTTGGTGAGAGGAGATTTGGAATAGTCACTGTGAGGAAACAGAATAGGCAATCAAAGAAGAACAAAAGGATTGCTGTACAGCACTGAGGGCTTGGTTGGTCTTCTTAACTTCAGACCTGGCACTCTATCCACTGTGCCACCCAGCTGCCCCATTGTTTATCATCTGGATATATATTGTAACCAGTGGTGTCCTAATAAATGTTTAACTGCAGTATACACACACACATGTATGAATTTGTAGTGGACACAGATGTGTGGCTTCTAGTATTAATCAGATACAGAAGAGTGAGGTGGAAAAATCAGATAGCTGGGGAGATGTAGGGTTGACAGCCAATGAATGACAAGACAAAGGGGCAAAGGAATTATGGGGGAAAGACAATATATGTGGCTGAACTAGCTAATTGTGGGACTATGAAGGGAGGAAAGTGAGGCCAAAATTGAGATGAATTATTTAGATGACGTGAGGAGAAGAACATGGTGCCTTGGTGTTCTAAGGCATATTTTGCTATTTGGGGAAGAGGGAAAATCAGATTTAAAGAGGCAGTAAAGAATTCAAAGTAGGACTTCACTGAATCCTGGCCTTATCTTCACTATTTAGTTGTGGCTTTCCCTGGGGAAAAAGAACACCAATTGGGCTTGGGAGGCAGGGGATCCTTTTTTTTGCTGTGTGACCTTGTCCCCATCTGTACTTCAATCCTTTCAGGTAAGTCATAGAATTATAAGAAAGGAGCCTTAGGGATTAATTAGTTCTACTACTTCATTTTTCATTGTAAACTGAGGCTCCGGCAGTGATTTGTCACACAGTGAATTAGTGCAAAGGCAGGATTAGAACCCGTATCCAGCAAACATTTATTAAGAGTGGAGATGCTAGAGAAGGTAACAGACTTTGGATCAGACCTGACCTTGTCCAGTGCTCTTTGCGTGAAAGACCATGAGTTTCAAAGAAACTTAAAACCACCAGCCTTCTGACAGGTCAGTAAAGTATTTCCTTTCAGGTAATGGCAGATTTTGCACAGCTTTCCATGAGAAATATTCTTTATCACCATCAGAAAATAAGGCTTGCATGGGCACCGTGGGGAGGTTATGAAGGAACACAAATTCCCCTTTCAAATACCATGGGTAATTAATTCCCCGAGGGTGGTTGGTTGAGCAGCTGCTCATTAGTGGCAAGAAATGAGGTCACCCTTAGGGCATCCTAGTGAAGCAGGTGAAAAGGAGTGAATGAGAGTGTCATCTCGGTTCTTCTGATCTCAGTCCCCTTCATCCTTCCAACCCTTCCAGGTAGGACCTGTGGGGGCCACCAAGGCTGGTGGGGGATACGTGAGGCAAGTGGCCTGCAGAGGAGGAGGAAGGATGAACGTTACTCACCCACAGACTGCGGGCAGCCCCTGTGCCTCAGCCATGCTGCTTCCCAGCTGCAGTACACAGGCAGAGAATCCTCGGTATACTTGAAGGCATTCCACCTGGACGTCTTGAGCCCTGACTGAAGTCCCTGGAGTAGAAGGCAGGGAAGAGGAGGCAGGGAATGGGATGGAATGAGCTAGCCCTGCTCTGTATGGAGTCTTAGTATAAGTCGGTAGCCCAGCTCCCCCGACCCCCACCCCAGTCCCCAGCCTGGTACCTGTTGGATATGACTGAATAACAACTTATCCCAGCCCCCACATCCAAACTCTAGCTCTCCTGTTGCTCCCTCTGTGCCCTAGAGAGAGCATGCTCTTAAAACACCACAGCTCACTCCTTTCTCTCAGGGCCCTCCCGGGCCCTTTATCTCCATCTTCCCATCCCACCCCAGCTTTCAGTTAAGCTCATTTTGCCCCAGGCAGTGAGAGAGAAAAGTAAGTTGGGGCTGAGCTGGGAAGAAAGGAGCCAAGGCAGGCTCAAGGACCAAGGGAGAGGTTCCGCGGGTAGAGAGCAGGAAGCCTACCGGAGTGGGAGGTGGGGGGGGGGGAGAGAGAGAGAGAGAGAGAGAAGAGAGAGAGGAGAGAGAGAGAGAGAGAGAGGAGAGAGAGAGAGAGAGAGAGAGAGAGAGAGAGGAGAGAGAGAGAGAGAGAGAGAGGGAGAGAGAGAGAGAGAGAGAGAGAGAGAGAGAGGGGGAGAGAGAGGGAGAGAGAGGGGGAGAGAGAGAGAGAGAGAGGGAGAGAGAGAGAGAGAGAGAGAGAGAGAGAGAGAGAGAGAGAGAGAGAGAGAGACGGAGACAGAGAGAGAGAGAGAGAGGGAGAGAGAGAGAGAGAGGGAGAGAGAGAGGGAGAGAGAGAGAGAGAGAGAGAGAGAGAGACGGAGACAGAGAGAGAGAGAGAGAGGGAGAGAGAGAGAGAGAGAGACGGAGACAGAGAGAGAGAGAGAGAGGGAGAGAGAGAGAGAGAGGGAGAGAGAGGGGAGAGGGAGGGGGGGGAGAGAGAGAGAGAGAGAGAGAGAGAGAGAGAGAGAGAGAGAGAGAGAGAGAGAAGAAACTGAAGGTGTTAAATAAGAAGAAACGCGTCAGGGGCGGAGGCTAAGCCTGGGCGCAGAGGCTGCCTGAGAGCGCACATGCTCTAGGTCTGGAGGATCACAGGCAGTTTGCGTTGGGCAAGAAGAGCGCGCAGCTCAGGGACTTAACTGGGACAGAAGGCGCACAGTCGCAGCCCCAAAGAGAAGAAATGAGACCGCAGAAGTGAGAGTTTGCCTTGGGAGGAGAGTGCGCACCTTGGGGGCTGGAGGCGGGAGGACGGATGTTGAGGAGTGGACAGAAAGGGCACGTCGCAGAGGGATGCTGTTAACGCTTCAGGATATCTTGGGTGCCTTACCAAAGGAGGGCAGCAGCAGCAGCAGCGCCGAGAGCAGAAGACCCAACGCCATGGTCCCTCTCAGCGCAGTCTTCGGGGTCCCATGTGGAAGACAGAGCAGCGGAACCCAGAGCCCAAACCGCTCACGCTTAGCTTCATCTGCGCCAACTCGTTAGCTCCTACCGCTTGGCTCCCTCCTCCCTCCCTCCGCTGCCCAGTGTGCGGCTGCTTCACCGCCCCAGGTTCCGCACCTGGCCAGGCTCACTGGCCAAGACCAGCTGCCGCCGGGTCCCCACCAGAGGCTTGATAATAGATAAGTATCAAAGGAGGAACTGTGGGACCGGAGTCCTACGAGGGAAAAGGCACTGACTGGATTCAGAAGAGTTGGATCCAAACCCTTCCTCTTAAGCTTACTACCTGCGTGATCTTGCGCAAATCACCAACTCCACGGACTCATCTGTGAAGTGAGGGGGTGGGAACTATGGCTTCTTAGATTCCTTTCAGCTCAAAATCAAAATCTGTCATCCTACGATCCTATGGTCATAGATCCAATACTCTTATAAGGGAAGAAACTGAAGTCCAGAGTCAGAATCAGGAAGGAATCTCTGGCTAAACTTAGAATCCAGGTCTCCCGGTCCTCTACATCTTTTATCCAATCTGCCAGATTGCTAATCCTTTTCAATAAATTATTTAAAATATCAGTTTGAATCAATGATAAGAACTCTGGTTTCCGAAATCGAGAATATAAGTTCTAATTCTGGCTCTGACTCTAGCCAGCTGAGTGATCCTGGGCATTTCACTTCCCCTTTTGGGTCTCAGTTTCCCCATCTGTATTAATGAGGATCTCTAAGGATCCTATCCAATTCTAAATTTAGCCTTTCCAAATTGGTAAGAGCTGCCAGAGGCTTGGCAAAGATCAGGATGATGGTCATCCCACAGTAAAGCATCGGAGGCTATATTGTAAGATCAAAATTGTCTGAATATATCCCCTACCACACAAGGGTACAAGTGCCCACTCCAGATTGGCACTCTGGGAGGAACTGCATCCCTTTTTCCTTTTCTCTCCCGGAGATAATTTTTGAGGTGGGGAATGGAAAGGGGAGGGTTCTGAAGCCAGAGCTAAACAATTGTGACGTCCAGATCACGATGAGCCCTACTAGCTGGCCAGACCTGGGTTAGCCCAGGATTAATTCTGCTCTGCAGTTAAGTCCCAGCATTCTTGGCTTTCCTGTCCAGGGCTGCCCGCTTCCTTCCCCTCCAGTCTTTTCTTCTCTCCTAAGGACAGACGGATCTTGGCCATATGGCTCTAGCCCCGTGCTGTGTTACATGGGGCATTTATTTGCGCAGTCGTGACTTCTCTCGATCTTCCCGCAAGCTGGGGCTGACCTCTCGCTCTCCCTGTCACTGAGCAGCCACTTGCCTGCTCAAAGACCCTGTTAAGTGGAAGCAATGTCGCTAGGGGGCGCTGTTTAAGGGTAGGCTCTACAGGAGATGTGTAAGGCCGTCTGACTGGGAGGGTACAGGTTTCCAGAGTTCTTCCCCGTAGATTGACCCGTTAGAGGGCACACTGCTAGAACGGTGGACTGGTATGGGATAAGTCCTGGGCTGGAAGAATGTTAGTGGCCAGGAGAGAAGAGGCTCTAATTCAGAGAGCTCTTGGTGAGGAATCACTTTTGTACCCCAGGATCTTCACATAAATTTAGGGGCTTGCCTGAGGCAAGAAGGAAAACCTTAGTTGCTTTGTATAATGTAATGTCACTGGGACTATTGAGGGCTACTCAGAAGACCTGAGTTCAAGTCTCACACATACTATTTAGGTGACCCTAGGCAAATCACAATCCCTCTGTTGTGTCTTTTTCCTTATCTGTAAAATGGGTATAGTAATGCTTGCACTTCCTCTCTAGTATTGTTTCAGGAAAGCACTGTGTAATAACTTACATTTCTGTAGCTCACAAAGCCCTTTCCTGGTAAACCCTGTGACCTGGTAAGTATATATATATATATATACACACATATATATACATACATATATATACATATATATACATATATATATGTATATATATATATATATATATGTAATTCTCCCAATTTGACAGATGAAGACTAAGTCTCAAAGAATTTAACTGACTTATTTTCTCATGACTTGCTATAGTCAGTAAGTTCCAGAATTAGGATTTGAATCCTGAGCCCAAGGTTCAAGATCTTTCTGTTTCATGTCCACTAACCCTTCCACTACATCACACAGAAATCTCAGTCCTTATTTAAAATGTTTTTTAGTCCCAACTTATAATTTTGCTGCTATAGAAAACTCCCTTTACCAATACACAATGGTCATGATTCTGCACCTTATCTTAGAAGAGTTGTCTCGGGGGCAAAGAAGTTCAAACTGCCCAGGTTGATATAGGGAGTACTTATCAGAGGCAACCCAGAGGATGGAGTGCCTGTCCTAGACTCAGGAAGACATGAGTTCAAGTCTGGGCTCAGACACTTAGTAGCTGTGTGACCCAGGGCAAGTCACTTAACCCTGTTTGCCTCACTTTCTTCATCTGTAAAATGAGCTGGAGAGGGAAATGGTAAACCACTCTAGTATCTTTGTCCAGAAAACCCTAAATGAGGTCATGATGTGACTGGAAAAATGACTGAACACCACATCAGAGGCAGATCTGATCTAACTCTAGTCTTCCTAATCTGGCCAGTTCCCTCTGTAATATGTCACTCTAACATCTCCTAGATTATTGTTATTAGTTTAATATATTACTATATTTATAGTTAGGAAGCTTGAGTTCTAGTTGCAGCTCTGTTGCCTGTTAGCTGTGATCAAGTCATTTCCCCTCTTCCCTGGGCCTTAATGTCCCAACCTGTGAAGGTGAGATGATATCTAAGATATCTAGGGGGAGGGTATTATTGTCAGGCCCTATGATTTTAACTTTTGCCTCCCATTCCAACTCCCAACCTACCACCAATAAACACACAGAAAGCCAGAGTTTAAGACATTTGACCCAGGCATCAGCCTGAATCATGCATTGTAGGGGTAAGCCCTTGGCAGCTCCAAGGATGCAGAACAGAACCGAGTACAGCAGCGCTTTACCCAGCGAAGTGCAGAAGGCCGACAGAGTGTTCTGGGGGCTGGTATGTGGATGCGTTTGGGCAGGCCCTCAAACCATGTCCAAGGTTTGCTAAAGTTCTGGGAGGTTGCTCTGTGGGGTTTGGGGAAAGTCTTCAAGACAATGAATCGAGAAGCCTTGGTGGCTTTGGCCTTGGAGTAGCAAGAGGAGATGGAGAAGGAGCAGCATTGACTTTTAGTCCTTGTCGTCTTCTTGGCCTCTCTCTTGGCCTTCTCCATCTTTGTTTTTGCCTTCTCTACTTTTGCATTCTTTGCTACCAGGTCTCCAATCTCTATGGGGGCTCTGTCCATTTCCATTAGTTGGGAGGAAGTACCACTACGGGTCCTAGAATGGTAACAGAAAGGGTGGAGGGTGGTCAATACAACAGAGACCCAAGCCCCAGAGTGGATCAAATACAGTTAGCCTTACTGCTGCACTCTTCCACTTTTTCCTCTCTTATCTCTCAACCTTAATCAAATCTGCTTTTGGGAAGGAGAAGGGATGCTCAATCACAGCCTGGACCCGAAATAGAAAATAATGTCATGTGGATACTTCTGTCATCAGAAGCAAAGACATGTTGTGTCAGAATAAGGTGGGAGAGGGGTGAAAAGGAGACTGGTGTAGGGGAGATTCAGGAGGCCTGGGTTAGAATCCTGACTCTACCACTAATTTAATGTTAAGCCTTGGGCAAAGCATTGAAGTTTTTTCCTCCTTTGTAAAATGAAGGGCTTGGACCAAGTGGTTCTTCATGTTTCTTCTAGCTATAATTGTCATGTTCTATGATTTTTTTTTGCTCCAACATTCTGTGTTGTAAGGCTCCCTCCTACCTCTGAATTTGTTTCATGATACCCAAGGGAAGAAGAAAGATGGGAAAGTGAGGAGAGAGAGAGAGAGAGAGAGAGAGAGAGAGAGAGAGAGAGAGAGAGAGAGAGAGAGAGAGAAAATCCCATTAAGCAAATCACTGAAGCTTTTAAATCTCAGGACAGTTTCTATCAAAAAAGTGACTGCAACACACTGTTCCCTCCAATGGGGCTAGACTCAGGTGGGGGGAAGCTTCATTTTAGTTGTGTTTGTCCTCTGGGAGCAGCAGCAACTGGGAAAATAAATATTTATTAAATGAATGCGTGAAAGGAGGAGAAGAGGTGTATGTGATAAGATGTGTGTAGGGGTGGTAGGGAGGGTCCTAGGTTCTATAGTAACTCTCTACTGAATATCCACAAGAGAGGTGGTAACTTGCCAGAGCGACTGTTAAGAGTAGACAGGCTGAGACTTGCTCAGAGCTATAGAATCATATAGTTAAAGCTGGAAGGAACCTTGGAGATCAACTAGTGCAACTTCACTGCACTCTTCCCATTTTACAGATGGAAGAACTGAGATGTCAGCCCAGGGAGGTTGTGATTTGCCCAAGGTAAGTTGCAAGAGCCAGGGTTCAAGCCCAGGTCCTCTGATAAGGACAAGTGTTGTTTACCCTAACCCCATACTGCCTTAAGTTCAGCTCAAGGTGGTTCCAGATCTAAGGTGTAAGTATGCAAAGGAATTCCCCAGGCTTCCTTTTTCTGAAGGAAAGATACCAACTTGTAAGAAGTAATACAGCAGGCTGCCTTCTACTTCTCTCGACACCACCCTCCTACCCTGGGGCTGTCCAGGGTACTAGAGCTGCCCAGAATTGAGAGCATTGGTAGTGTAGCCCTCAGCAGACAGGCAGACATGCTCCCCATGCGCTAAGGCAGACATGCTCCCCATGCACAGTGAGAGCCTTCATCACCTAGAGGAAACATGCAGTATCTGGGGCACTTGAAACAGCAGCTTCCAGCAGGACTTCGCCAGACTGTGGAGACCTATTACACGGGGATTTGACTTCTTTAACAGCTTGAGGAGTGACAGGTTCTTCATCACCTACACAGGAGGACACAAAGGGTTAGGAGAGACAGTCATGAGATTTCTTTGACCTTTCCCTATATTCTGCCTCTCCCCTTTCCATCCTAGCCCCAATCATTTAGACCTTGAGGACCCTTCAAGCCCGCTCAGCCTGTGGTTTAAAACAGTGTGAGAAGATAGCAGCAGCATATAGTGGAAACAAGCCTGGATTTGGAATCCAGAGATCTGTGTTCAAGCTGTCACTCTGACAGGAGCTCTGGGACCTTAAATAAGCCATTTGCCCTCTTTGGGGCTCAATTTTTTTTCTCTACAAAATCAGGGGGTTGAACTAGATTCCTCTAAGATTCCTTCCAAGTTCTAGGTCCCACAATAGGAGTTGATCTGCAGCCTGTTGGCTTGAAGATCTCTATGCTAGACCAGTTCAAAGGTTAAGGAGTTCTTGTAAAGAAAGATGGAGTGTGTGTCTCTTACCATCCTCAGCTGGTTTAGCTCAGCCTCCCTACCAGGTCTGGACCTCCTTTTCCACTGTTCCATACTTTGGACCTGGGGAAACAGAAGTTTTGGACAGATGTTATAGAAAGAGGAATTTCTATGTATTGCATAGCCTGGTCTCTTACATTCAATAACCCCTGATAACTTCTGGTGAGAAGTAGAGGTTCAGAGCCCAGCTTTGGTTCAATGGTAGGTATATATGGCAACTC